TTTATTTGGACTAACAATGATTTTTTTGTGTCCATGTATAAGCTGTGTTCCCTTTCTGTTCATAAGTACATTGCCTATCCACCAATATGTCTCATGAAAGCATATACGATGGATTGACCAATATAAAAAGAAACAGTTTTTTAAAGGATGCTCAGAAATAAAATTTAAAATAATCTGAAAAGGCTCTTGGAGAGCAAATCCATTTGTTTGTCCATATGAAACAGAAAAATATACATATAGATATAGATAAAGCTGTAACCTATAAGAAAAACATTATATATAGAGATATAACTGGTAGGAAAAAGAATTTGATGAAAATAAAAACCTGTAAGTTTACAGAAATGCATAGTTTTAATTTAAAATCCCAATAGAGATGTATAGACACCTTTCTTAATTAACTAAAACTCCTTCCATGCAACACGCTGTGAGATAACTGCTAAAACCCTATCCAAATCCTGTAGTTTTTAATCACTTTTAAAGGCTGAGGGGCAATTTAGGCAGGTGCACCAGCAGTGATCTCACCCAGCTCAATAAGGAGGTACGCTTGGTTGCTTTCTCTCCTAAATCAGATAAGGATGTGGGATACAGGCTGTTCATCTTTGCCTAGGCTCAGGTCCCAGACGTATTGCCCAGCATGTGATAATGGAAAGCATCCGTACCCAACACTTGATGCCAGAAGCACCTTCTCCATAAGGGAAATACGTGCTGGAAAAGACCAGAGATGGAAAGAAGAGGAAAACGAGAATTTATTCTTAAATGCAGTTACTGGACAAATAGCAACAATTACATTTACCTGCTTTTGATAACTGCTTAGAGATCCCAAGGCATTACATTGTAATGCTATTAGGGAAACAGGATGAATGTAGGTATATTATATTAATATCTGATAAACATCATTATTCAAGGCTGAAACAAAGAATTAAAAAATATTTAGTATCTCTTCTGTGCCGAAGTAGAGTCTCATAAATCTTATTGTGCTTCCTTCCTGAGTATGGAAAATACAGTCATTTTATTCAGTTCAGAATAACGTAGAAGAATTAAATAAACCTTGAGCTGAATTTGCCAGTTTAGTAAAGGAACAGACAATGTATTATTCTTCTTCTGTTCCTTCCTGGACACATGTTTAGACATGGACCAGTCCGGGATCCTCTGCTCCTTCTCCAGTTTCCATATGTTTCACTGGAAGTTTTACCAGTGCTGTTCTAGTGCTTCCATTTCACAACACTCAGTGATTCAAATCAAATGAAATGCAGCTCCGTAATCTTTCAGCCAAAAGACCTGCGTGAGTCAAAAGAACAAGATATTCTGAACAGAAGCAAGCTCTTATCCCCAACAGATTCAAAGGCCACCTTTGTACAAGGTGCCATTTCACACCGCAGAGCTCTGCCCAGGCAGGTGTAACTGGAGCAAGGCCGCCCCAGGTTCTCTGCTGCTAGGCAACACCACATCTTATATTTATAATTTCAGACTCTGATTCTTACATAGGCATATTTTGGGCTCACAGCGAAGCGTCTGAAACCAATAACAGGTCTGCTGAAGTGTGATTATAATTTGAATGCTGATGACGCTTTCTAATGCACAAACTGTCCTGTAAAATGAAAGCTGGTAAGTATTAGACATGTTTCCAGTATCTGCATGCTCTGTAAGCACAAAATTTGTATCAGAATTTTCATCAGGGGGCGTGGTGGATGCAAACACGTAATGATAAGTGCCAGCAGTTTTAATTATTTGAAAATCCTGTTATTTTCATACTGATTGCTGAATTATCTACTTTGGAAAACATTGCTTCTTAGATAATAAAAATATTAACAGTACACAGCAGCACAGTATGATCAAATAGAAGCATTTGGTGGAATGTAAGGTCAACTATAAAGACACTTCAGTTTGCGATGAATCACTTTATTTTTACACGGCAAATTATATACTCGTGCAGATTATATTTAAGAAAAGTAATATACAGATGCATGAGATTACTACTTGTTCATTTGGATAGTAACAGCATATTATGTTCATACCTCCTAGATCATCATCAGAAACTCTGAATAATTCTGCCCTATAGAGTATTTCATAATTGCATTCTCTCCTGGCCACTGTGTCAGCAATGTCATTTCTTAACTTCTTCCATGTCTGTTCTCATGCTTTCAACCACACCAGAAGGTATGGTTTGAAACAGCCTTACTAAGTGGCCCCATGCACATTCATTTTATTTTCTCATATAATTTCTGAAGCGTGTAAAATAAACTAGTTCCTAGCCTTTTCATCATTACTTTTAGCCATTCATCCTCAATGATAACCGCCTCTCCTTCAAATGTATATTTTCTGCCACTTCTACTTTTTTTACCTGTAACCATGTGTCCAGCCTGTTACTTGAAGTTCTCTGCATCGATCACTAAATTTGTTCAGCACGTAGCAGCATATTTTTTACACAGTAGAGTAACGCAGATGAAAAACACCAATAATTCTGTATTTTGTTGTGTTTTGTTCTGAAACTTTATGCTGTAACATAACTGCATCATCAGTCACTTTTCTACTATCTTCCTTTTTTGTAAGCAACAGCCTAAACTTGTAACTTTCTGGAAGATAAGCCCAGACATGATGAACATATAAGGTGAAAGTTTGGCCATCCTGAAACAAATTATCATATTCCTACTGGATTTCTAGGATTAAAGGAAAGGAAAAAAATTGTAGCCCCTTTTTTGATACAACCTAGAAGATGTACAGGGTGAAAGAATCTGACTCACATTATGCTAGCTAGGTCTCCCAGTTATCCACATTTGACTTGTTACTGTATGGTATGACCAATGGCAGCCAGGTGGAGGTGAGACACAGACATACAGAAGCGATCTCTGTGCGAGAATGTACTTGAAGTCAGATAAATGGCAGCATAAAAGCATAGATTTCTAGAAAACTCCATATACAAGCCCTCAAACTGGCTTCCAGAACAGACTTTTTACCAGCAATGTGATGAAAAGAAAATATATAGTCATAGAATGACAGAATCTTGAGTTGGAAGGGACCTTTCAAGGTCATTTAGTCCAACACCCCTGCGATGGGACATCTTCAACTAGATCAGATTTCTCAGCAACGACCACAAATCTGTTGTCTCACAGAAAATATGCCATTTCACTCTCATAACCAAAACCATCAGAACTGGCACTGGCACAGTGACAGTGACTCTGGCTTCAGCATGCCAAGAAATCAGTTTTGTGCATCATTGGCTCCACAAATAGTCCTGTGAATCATTGACCACACAAAAACTCACTACCTATATTTCCAAATATATTTTTCTTAAAATAATGTGAAACTGTCTAGCTCTCCATTTCTGCTCTCAGGGACACGAACCTGAGTAACACCGTAGCCCTGAAGAACATTTCTGAAGCACTAAGATGTCTCTTCTGAAAAAGTATGGACTGTACTTTCAGAATATCTCAAAGATCTTCTCAGGTTGGAGAACATCCATTTATGAGAACTGTTCCTGTAGAAGAAAAGTTCAAGTCCCTGTCACAGGGCCTTGGTTGCATTTTCCCAGAATCACTTGCCTCCATTTATGTAAACTTAGCACCAAAGGTCCTGCTACTGCATAAGTTTTCAAAACCAGAACACACTTGGTGAACAACCTCATGTTCACTTTTCAAACAATGTCTTAGAGGGTTTCTTCCATCCCACAGTGGAAGACCAAGAACCAAAGCCAGTAGAACATTGTACCTGGAAGGTCCCAAAGACAATTTCTTTTCAGGTGACATAAGGTTCCAAACAGAAATTTCCTACGTATTTACTGATTTTATTTTCTTTATTTAAATGAACAGATTTTCTATACCCAACAGTGTTAGATCTGTGCTTCTCTTGCATGTTACCAGACGACTGTATGAACTTGCTTCCATGCACTTTATGATCAAAAGTCTATTCAGTTTTTCTGCCTCTTGTTCAATTAGCTACACTTGCTCCATTCTGTATATCTGATCTTGAGTGAATCGGTCCTTCAGATGAATGTCACTATTCACTAGTTTTAATTACTTTTAAACTTTAATTTCTGACTGATTTATATTTTAGCATATCAGACACTTCAGTTCTTGGATGAAGAAATTTCATTTAAATCTTTAATTTACATAGATATGTATGGGAAAAAAATAAATATTGAGATTCACAGTTCTGCATAAGACAAAAAAAGAAAGAAAAGCAGCACTGTTTGAGCAATTGCATTGATTTACCCCAGACAAACAGTCCCAAAACGTGAGCAAAAGCATACTTCAGAAAATTACTTCAGATACAGAATCAGAATGTCGGAAAAAGAGTAAGATTGAGATCTCCTGCCAAAAAAGTGAGTACTTCAGTAGTAATCCAAGCAGCAGAATTTCTAATAGTCAAGCTGTCAAATTCGAACAATAAGGAACACCTCTTTTATTTAGGAGCTGTTCCTCCCAACCAGATTTAATCAAGCCTTCTCTCTATTTGCATAATTTCTTCAAAGAGCTAAGGATAATGTTTTGCCATTTTCAATCTTTTTTTCTCACATTAAGAAAATGTTTCTGTCAAGTGTCTCTTTACAGTGCTACATAAGAAATTTTGTTTTCAACAAGGCATAAAAACTCTTTGAAAGCTTGGCCTTGGTGGCAAAACTAAAGACCTTCTTCTGAGCCAATGGGAATGTGCTTCTCTCTATGAACTGTGTCTAGTGGGTGGAACTCAAATCCTTAGCCTAAAGCTGTAATAGTGCATAACATTTTGGTGTTTTGCAAGACATCTCCCACTTCTGTTACGCATTATTTTAGGTAGGAATGGTTGGCCCTCCTGTTCTGCTTCCATGCCTCCACTGCCTGACTTCTTTTTATGTTCTGATAGCAAATGAAAGACTAACAGCCCCATGCAACACCTCTTTCTAGTTGTCCTGATGCCCTGTCAACTTTCTGTTGCAGTTCATGTCTTGAGGACAGAGCACGTTACAAGATCAAACTCCAAACAGGCTGAAGTAAAAACAGTACAAAAAGGTTAAGAGGACTTACTGGTACGTGGTTGGACTGACATTGATGCGGCGTGGGTGACTTCCTGACTCGAACTTGCTTGCAAGGGTGACATTGTTCCCAAAGAGACAATAACGTGGCATTCTTACACCAACGACGCCAGCCAGCACTGATCCTGAGTGAATGCCTATCCTCATCTGGAAAAACATGAGATCCGTGTCAGTCTGCCTCTCTTGTGCTGCCCACGGTAATGTCCTAGCACTTATTTACAAGTCAGTCACAGCAACCCTTTCAAAGAAATAGAAACCGAAGAAAAGTGAAGTGGAAGAAAACAGGCTGCCCCATCTCTCTAACTTAAATCAGATGCAGTTAAAAAAAGAACAGAAACATGGTTATCTTTTTACTAAAGCTATTTTCTTCTTCTGTGCACGTTTGCTAGAGACTACAGCAGTCAAAACAGGAATCACGAACAGAATATGATGGGAAGACCAAGAGTTACTGTAATATCAGCCATCTAATTACACAAATTGATACATTACAGAGGCTTATTTTCGCCATCACTTCTAAGACTAGCTCTAAAGTAAGACTCCAGCTTTCTTAAACTGGCAGAAAAAGCAGTAAAGTGGAGTGAATGAATAAGATACTTTCATGTTCTTCATATTTTTTTCTTCCAGATTCCTCAACGTGTAAGATCTTTGTGAGAATGAGAGATATTGCAACAGTGAAGATGCTGAAGATTAAGGCACCAATGATTTAAAAAAAATTTGTATCCCCCCCAAAATAAGGAGGAATAAATCCCCAGCAAATTAAAAAAAAACCCATGTGACTATTCTAGTAATCATCCCCTGTAATTGTCTGAGATGTGGTGGTTACATTGATCTGTAAAGCTTGGAGTCACCATCCAAGTTTCTTTCAGAGTGAATAATCAGGAGAAGATTTATTCTGCATACATTTTAGCAACCAATTGTGTTTGCCAAGAAAATAATTTTTACAAACAGGAAATTCTTTTTCTCTTGTTAACTTTATGACCTAAGAAAAAAAAGAAAATTTGTATTTATGTCTTGTAAGGATACTCTTACTCATAGCACCTGGACTTCTGCAAAACATGAGATAATGTGAAGAAAATAAATAGCAGCTACTAAAACAGAGGGTCTGATGGGGTCTGAATGAATGACTTAACTAATACTGTACTCCATATGGTCCTTTGACTTACTCAATTCACAGTTATCGCACTGTGCTTTTGTCTGTCAATCCCTATTTTTTTAATAACACAATAATTATTTACTCAAATACAAATAAAAAAAATTTGTTAGAATATTTTATGTTAAGACAAATGCCAGCAATTTATAACCTCGGTGTCCACGAAGTTCTATGAACATGTGTGACCCCACATTATTTCACTGACTATAGTTCTTCCCATATGTCCAAGACTTTTACCATGCAGCTAAGAACTCTTTTTATTTTGTTCCTCTCTTCTATGTCACAGACAATGAGTATAGCATTATATCTGCTATACATAATCGCACGTGTAACCTTAGAACATGTCGTTCTGCATTCAGTGTAATACTACTTTAAACATTCCCACAGGCAACATAAAACCTTCAATCCTCACAATAATGCTGTTAATTACAGACTAGGAGTTAATAAAAATATCTGTGAATAAATAACACTCCAGTTAAATAGAACTTTCAAACCTTTAATACAGTTTGGAAGGAAGGTACTGAAATCCTTCCAATACTCTACCCTAGTGGGCTGGGAAGGACCCACAAACAGGCTTTGGCTGTGAACATCTGTATAAACATATCACACTCACATTATTTTGGTCATATTTTGGGGTATGAAGATTTCCTGCTTTTGCCACAGCATACATTTAAACTCCATTGTTCATTTCCAGTGAAAAACGTGCTCCTGCACTCCAGAAGTGAGCAAAAAGCCCTTCTGTGTATTAGTGTGGTCAGTACCTGCACTCAACAAAAGACTACAAGCAGAAAGTCTTGTTCACACAACAGCATAAATGCTGTCAGCCTTCAATAAATAATAAATTACTTATTTACAATGTATCATTTTTGTGAGGTGGGAGAAGGGTTAGTTATTTTGTACACAATTTAAGGAACAGAGCTGATGCTACCTATTTGTTCCATTACCACTCTGCATATTTATTTAAGAATCACAAGCCAACCAGTTACTGTGACCTCTCCTAGGGTACATTCAAACACATGTGAAGGCTAGATTGAAACTATAAGAAAAAAGCACTAGCTTTGTTTTGCGGTTGGAAAGTGGAGATGAGAGTATACATTAAAGTGGAAGGAAAACCCAGTGACAAAAAAAGTACTACTAAGAAAATAAAATTTACTTTTGCAATATATGCAGTGAAAACTAAAGTTGTTGTTTGATTTTCTGCTTCTGCTCTTGAAGTGCTTCCTTTTATGTGTCCACATAGTTTTCTATCATTCAGTGCTTGAGTGACAGAGAACGTCCAAGGGATTTCCAAATCCATCAGGATTCTCCAATCCTCAGTAGCAAAAGTTTAGGCTCTCTTGAAGAACCCAAAACTCAATCACACACTAAATGCTTTCAAGATCTTTTCTCATGATTGTCTCAAAACCACACTGGGATACAGTCTTTGTGGTTATGACTTCTCTGCATGTGTCAAGGAAACCAGTTGCAGATGTTACACTGTCAGACTTGCTGAAAACACAGAAGCTGATATACCACCCTTAATGTCAAGTATTTTCCTTTGCAAGGTTAGGTGAATAAAGCTAAAGCCATGCCAACTTGCATGGAAAAACTGAGGCTGGGAGCAAAAATAAATGGATATTTAAAATTTCACTCAGGAGTACATAGGTTAGATCTCCTGTGAACTGCTTGACGTTCAGAATGGATGAGACAGAAGAAGAAAGGAAACAGCTTTTCTGTTTACCCTAGAGTGTATCTAAAGAGATTTTTAAACCCCTTGCTTTGGCTGAGTATGCAACCTTTTGTATTCTGTCATATCGTTGATTTTTTTACAAAGCATGCTCCTACAATAAAAAAGGTAGATGTTCTCACAAACACAGGTTAAACTACACAGAGCTACCAATGAGAGTGTCAAAAACTGAAGTTTTCATTGGGTGCAAGAAAGTTAATGTGGGTTTTCTCATTAAACCATACACAGAAATGCCCGATACAAGACAAAAACACATCAAGAATGGCTTGTAGTAAAGCTCCACTTCTGCTTCATTATGTGGTCCTCTAAAAGAAAAAGCATGCAACACTGATGCTGTTGCCATGAAGTATTCCTTAGTGTGCCTTCTTATATCAAGAATAACCATTATATTGGTCATATATTACTTATTAGTGAAAAACGCTTTTCATAAAAATGTCTTTTCAAGATTTCATTTCATTTGCAGGTAAGCTATTCTAGCTTTTACCTCACTGAGTTTAAAAGTGTTGTGTCAACAGTTTAAGGCTTCTTTTTTTACAAAGGAAGAAAATGGGTGATCAAATTATCAGCAACAAGATACTTATTGGGGCACATCAAGCTCACACATTAACTTTGCAGCAAAAGAAAATCATATAATCATAGAACAGTTTGGGTTGGAAAGGACCTTCAAAGGTAATCTAGTCCAAGTCCTCCTGCAATGAACAGGGACATCTTCAACTCGATCAGGTTGCTCAGAGCCACGTCCAACCTGACGTCAAATGTTTCCAGGGATGGGGCATCTACCACCTCTCTGGGCAACCTGGTCCGGTGTCTTCATCATCCTTCTTATAAAAAATTTCTTCTTTATATTCAGTCTAAATCTACCCTCTTTTAGTTTAAAACCATCACCATTTGTCCTACCACAACAGCCTCTGCTAAAAAGTTTGTCCCCATCTTTCTTAGAATCCCCCATTAAGTACTGAAAGGCCACAATTTGGTCTCCCCACAGCCTTCTCTTCTCCAGGCGGAAAAACCCCAACTCTCTCAGCCTTTCCTCATAGGAGAGGTATTCCAACTCTCTGATCCTTTTTGTGGCCCTCCTCTGGACCCACTTGTGGGTCCAGAGTTAGGTACATGGAATGTGGAAAGAGGGACAGGCCTCTTGGGAAGAATACAGGAATGTGGTCGGAGCATGCAGGTATACAACGAGGAAGGCCAAGGCCCACCTGGAATTGAAGCTGGCAAGGGATGTCAAAAACAACAAGAAGGGCTTCTTCAACTACATCAGCAGCAAAAGGAAGGCTAGGGACAAGGGCCTGTTGCGATAGAACAAGGGGTAATGATTTTAAACTAAAAGACAGCAGATTTAGACTGGATATAAAGAAGGCATTTTTTATGATGAGGGTGGTGAAACACTGGAACAGGTTTCCCAGAGAGGCAGTAGATGCCCCATCCCTGGCAACATTCAAGGCCAGGCCCTGAACAACCTGATCTAGTTGAAGATGGCAAGGGGGTTGAACTGGATAATCTTTAAAGGTCCCTTCTAGCCCACACTGTTCTAAGATTCTGGTTCTATGATTCTGTGATTCTACTTGTATCTTTAACCTAAATGACATTTAGTAATTCACTGATGTCTCCCCACACTAATAGGGCTTTTTCTTCTTGGATTCTAATCCTACTTTTTAGTCCTTTCAGAATACTTCGCATTAACTTCGCATTTTTCGACACAGTCTCCCATGATATCCTCCTGGGGAAGCTGAGGAAGTGTGGGCTGGATGAGTGGTCGGTGAAGTGGATTGAGAACTGGCTGAATGGCAGAACTCAGAGGGGTGTCATCAGGGGCGCTGAGTCTAGTTGGAGGCTGGTGACAAGTGGTGTCCCTCAGGGGTCAGTACTGGGCCCAGTCTTGTTTAACTTCTTCATCAACGACCTGGATGAAGAGTTAGAATGTACCCTCAGCAAGTTTGCTGACGACACCAAACTGGGAGGTGTGGTAGATACACCAGAAGGCTGTGCTGCCATTCAGCGTGACCTGGATAGGCTGGGGAGGTGGGCAGAGAGGAACCTGATGAGGTTCAACAAGGGCAAGTGCAGGGTCCTGCACCTGGGGAGGAACAACCTCATGCACCAGTACAGGCTTGGGGTGGACCTGCTGGAGAGCAGCTCTGCGGAGGGGGGCCTGGGTGTCCTGGTGGACGACAGGTTAACTATGAGCCAGCAGTGTGCCCTGGCTGCCAAGAAGGCCAATGGGATCCTGGGGTGCATCAAGAAGAGTGTGGCCAGCAGGACGAGGGA